CTTCCCCTGCCGCTCCCCTCCAGCCTTTTTTTTTTTAATGGTTTAATTTTTGGCAAGAGACCTGAGGCAGCTCCCTGCAGGGGCCCCTCCTCTTCTCACTCCTCACCATACACACTGTCACCACCATTCCCCTGCCTCGAAAAACCAAGATCAGCACTGATCCACCTCGTCCCTTCTTCAAACAGCTCAAGCGTGGCCTCCAGTTCATGGCCGTAGCAATGTCCTGACTGCCAGACCCAGCACACCCAACAAGTCCCAAGAAAGCTCTGGAATGGGGTGACCCCTGAAGCTATTTCTACGTCCAAAGGCCCCATGGGGCTGGAGGGGGTAGTGACAGGCTCTGGCCTGGCTAGACCTCACTTGAGAGGTAGAGGAAGGGGAGGCAAGTCACATGGGCCCCACCTCCTTTTGACAGGAAAACCTGGCCTCCTCAGGCCTGCTTTCTCTGTCCCCAAGGCAGCACAAGGCCACAGCTCCGTGAGAACACAAGGACTCAGCCTTTCCCACAGATGCCATTTCCACCGTCCCTACCCTAGAGTCAACCCCTAAACCTACAGCTCTGCTAGTGGTGGGAGCCTGAACCCAGGTGGCCAAAGGCACATTCTTTGTCCACAGGGGCCTCCGTCCAGGGCCACCGTAGCTTCTCCCTGTCCCACCACATCCTCAGGCCTGTCCCATCAAAATCCTAAGAATTCCAGGGGAAAAGACCCCAGAGCCTAAGCTAGGGCTAGTGAGAGGGCTCAGTAGTTGAAGTTGTTTGTCACCAAGTCTGATGTCCAGAGCTCTGACTTCAGGCTGTCCTCTGGCCTGCACATGTGTGCTATGGATCAAAGCCCCCCCCCCCACATGCTCACAAAATAAAGAGGTCTACCTGTATCCTGTCTCCATCGCCTACCACCTTGGCAGAGAGCACCTACTCTGAGGAGCCTTCGGGTGTGCCGTGCGGCTAAGCTCTGGATTTGGGAGATTTGTTCCAACAGAGGCCCCATTCTTCCTGTCGCTGGCTCTCATTGTCCCTCATGACTCCACACATTCTTGGGCCTCCTATGATAAGCTGAGACTGCCATCAGCTCTGCCCTGCCCTTGTCAGTGTAACCCTGCGGCCCGTGGCAGGTGCTGGGGGAGGGTGGGCAGGGGCCAAAGGAAGAGAGTAAAGAAAAGGCAGCTGGGAACCAAGGGCAGGAGGCAGGGTGGGCAGGGGGGAATGGTAGAGGCGGAACAGAGAGAAACTGAAGGGGATGGAGGTTAAGGTACATTTTCCACAAGCAAAAGGAGCTTATCTTTTCTTGGATGGAAACTTCTGCAGGCACCTGCCATCTATTAGTTATGTCCAGTAATGTTAACACTATAGTTCCAGCTAAGAAAACTGAGGTTTGGGCCGGGCATTGGTGGCGCACGCCTTTAATCCCAGCACTCGGGAGGCAGAGGCAGGCGGATCTCTGTGAGTTCGAGGCCAGCCTGGTCTACAGAGCTAGTTCCAGGACAGCCTCCAAAACAATACAGAGAAACCCTGTCTCGAAAAACCAAAAAAAAGAAAACTGAGGTTTGCTCTAGAGTTTTTTTTCTCTTTTGCTGGAGGGCCGTGTGATGGGGGAGCAGGGGAAGGGGATACAGGGAGAGGGGAAAGAGAACACTTGAAAGTACGGGAGCTGACAAGCTGAAGTGACATGAGGGAGAGCTAGGGAAACAGGAATGAGGGGGCCTAAAGTGTCCCTGGCCTCCAAACACTCCCTCAGGAGCCCACTGCATGCTGGGAAAGCAGACACCGAGAGCGGCCGAGTTGCCCTTTCCCGATGAACTCTGCACAACTGGACAACCCAGGTCAGGCTAGAATTGAAGTCTGCTTCACAGTGGGAATGTTAGCTTTTTAGGGACTCCCTCTCATAACACTTCCCTTCTAGGGATACTTCTGGGACAGTGGTTCCAGCTAGATAAGCCAAGGAGAGCAGGCTTCTCAAAGGAGACAAGTGGAGACATGCCAGTAAAGCACCAGCTCTCCGCGAGAGAGAAGGCCCAGGGACAGACTAGGCTTAGCCCAAGGTAATAGAATGCCACCCTTTCCACAGGGGGTAAGGCTCAGTGTTCCCAGAGACAGCCACGCACATGCACACAGCCGTTCTCCAGATCTGCACTGGACACCCAGTGAGCCCATAATAAACGGAATGCTTGTGTGGAAGTCCTTCATAAGTTCAGTTAGCCGAACCTATGGTCCCATCCAGACTCACGGGTCCAAAAAGTTCTGATTCTCAGAGGTTCTTCCCCACCTATGTGTCTTCTGGAGCCCAGGAAACCTGTCTCAGCCTGTGGTGGCAGGGCAAGGGGACCCTGGGACAATACTAAGGCGCTGGCTCTCACATGCCTGTCTGCCTGTAGGTCCTAGGCCGTGGGAAGTGATGAGGAGCAGTACAGCAATCGGATTCCACCCACCATGGTGGGAGGCACTGCTGAAGGTCCAAAGGAACCTCAAGAGATTCAATCTGTTGTCTCTGCTCCAAATAGACCTCCCAGTTTGGAACTGTGCTTGGGATGGACCCAGACAGTTAGGTTCTGAAGAACGCACAGGCTCCCATACACTGTCCTCCAGACCAGAACCAGATCAGCAGTGGGCTTACCACAGAGGACAGGATGGCCTCCCCTCTCTAGGCCTAGACTAGGGGGCCTTTCCTGTGGTTGAGTCTGCCCTGTACACCCTCCGTTTCTAACCCGAAGCATGAGAAGTTGAGGTTCTCTCTCACTTAACACTTTGGGAGCCCCCCCAGAGGAGGCAGATGCTCCCATTGAACAGGGAACCACAGTGAAGTCAGGCATGAATTTTCTTTCACCACAGCGCTTCTCCAGCAGTAGACAAGCTCCAAGGAAGGAAGAGCAAAGGTATAAGAGGTACAAGGTCTCTCCAGCCTTAGTACCAATCCTTACGGAGCCTGTTGGCTGGGTTACAGGAGGAAAAGTACAAGAAGGAGCTCATGCCACCAGAGTGAAAGCTCCCCAAGCACAGAACTCAGACCACAGTTTTGCCTCTCAGTCAGCCATGCTGTTAGAGAAAAATATGGTAATGGGTCGTTGGTAAATTTGCATGCAGTTTGCCAGAGAATACCATGAATAATATCAAACAGTTCTCACATCTGCCCAGGCCTACCTAGTCCTGCCCTTTCAGCCAAGTCCCCTAAACCTCAAATGATGACTCGTCTGGGGACAGCTACTCCTTCAATGACATGCATTAAGTATATACAATGGGTCAAACATGGCGCAAGACCCTTGGATAGGACTCAATGCTAGTACCAGTGAGGGACAAGCCACTGTGCATGACTCTAAGTCAGAGCTGCCCTTCTGTCAATCAGTTTTATGACATGATTCCAAGGGACAGGCTAGACTCGACCACACCTACTCTTGGGACTCCGTGTCCTCATCAGCTTTTAGGAGAATGACCCCACTTCTGAAGCCCGCCTCCCGAATAGTCCTGTCTTTGCATGATGGCAAGAAGGTAGAGGCAGGAGCAAGTGCCCAGCAGCCCCTTGGAGGAAGCAGGGGAAGGGTGGCTCTAAGAGCCTGCATCTGGGACAGCCCTGATGGCACTGAACAATTTGAAAAGTAAAAGCTGTTTCCAGAAAAAAAAACAAACAAACAAACAAAAAAATTGAGCCGGGCGTTGGTGGCGCACGCCTTTAATCCCAGCACTCGGGAGGCAGAGGCAGGTGGATTGCTGTGAGTTCAAGGCTGGGCTGGACCGACAGCCTCCAAAACAATACAGAGAAACCCTGTCTCATAAAGCCAAAAAACAAAAACAAACAACAACAAAAAAAAAGCTGTTTCCAGCCTTGTGCCTCAGCTGGGGCACCCTTGAAGGTCTAAGTCTACAAACTGGCACCACGGGGACTTCTTGGAGGACAATCCTCTCGATACAGAACCCAGTCACCAAGGAGCTGACTTCCTCTGCTAAGTTAGCCCCGAACTAAGTTGTTCACTGGCAGAGGAAAGTACCTTTAAAAATTCACCAGGGAAAATTAAATCAGACCAGGAGAGAGAAGAATCTCTAATGAAGACGGAGGGCTGAACACCGGTGCTTCCAAAGGGAGGCTGTGGAATGTTGGTTAGGAAGGAGGGCTCTCCCTCTGGCCCCCAGGCGCCCTCTCCTGCCCAGCTATGGAGAGGCAGGAGCCTTCCTTTAGGGTCACTATCCGTGGTCAGGGGCCCTTCCTCAGGAAGGGGAGTATCTATCCTCTCAAGGGTGCTTTGCCGGGCCTCTGCCACAGCCAGGGTTCCTCCTCGGGGTGGCTTCTCCCCGGCCTTATTAGGTATGCAAGGGTCCCCAAGGGGGCCGAGGGGTGGGAGGAAGCTCAGGGCTCAGAGGTCCTTTCAGACCCCAAAGCCAAAGGGACTGGAGAGGATTGGAGGGAGAATGAAGTAGCTGGTGTCCCCTCCTCCCAGGTACATGTTTGTCTCACATTTACTGGAGTTAGTGGTTTTGCACTGGACATGGCTCCTCCCAGCCTCCTTCACAAGGGCTTCCAGGACCTCTCTCCGCTCCTGGGGTACCATGCACCGCTGTTTTTCCCTTCTGTGTGCCAAACAAATGCACAGGTGCCACAAAGTCCTGGTCCCTGCCTCTGGTTCAGCCCCCTCTTCATCGCATTCCACCACGCAGCAAAGGAGAGAGGGAAACACTCAGTGTGGCTTTCACTCAACCAGGGGAGGTAGATTCAGCTTTAGCGAGCGAGCTCCCTCTCATTCCCCCCTGGAGTCCACTAACTGTGAAACCCTTTAGAAGGAACAAAGGCAACGGAGCCTGGGTGAGGGGCTTCCTTTTTGCCTACCCAGGGCAGTGGTTGGCACAGGCGGCAGCGGGTCAGATCTGGCTTTCAGGTGAGCCTGCCGGAGGTGGAGGGGGTTCGACCAACCCAAAGCAGAGACGCCAGTGCTCGGCGGTTCCCGGCCCCCAACCCAGCCCGCAGAGGGGTCGCCGACTCCCAGCACTTTCTGCCTGTTTTCCGCTCAGTACTCACAGTTCGGATGCTGAGCCGGCTCCTCTCTTGCACTCACTTCCTTTGTCTCCCTCTTTCCCTCTCCCTCTCCAACCTCTCTCTTCCCTCCTCGTCTGATTCTCGGCTGTAGCTTCCAGCGGAGAAAAATAATTATTCTTCTCAATGGGTTCGCACGGGGCGCGCGCGCGTACACACACACACACACACACACACACACACACACACACACACACACCGGGTACCCAATCAATGCACAAATCTTCGGGGTCCCTTTAACCTCTGCGGATGACTCCAGGAGTTAATTATGAAGCCTATTTCGACATGGCATAAATATGCATTAAGGGATGAAATGACAACCGACGCGCTGAACTTCAGGGAACTGGCATTTAGACAGACTTAGTCTCGCCCCCGCCCCCCTCCCGCTCGCTCCTCGGCCCCACAAACCACCTCCCAAGCCTCGCGCCCTCCGGGGCTCGCAGGGACCGTCGCCGGCTCCTCCCGGAACTCGTCGCACCTCCGGCGCCCCCTGCGGTGGGGCAGCCCCTCGCGGGCCGTTCCCTCCAGTCCTCCCTCACCCCGCAGACCGCCCGGTCCCAGCCGGGGTGGGGTTTCCATCTGAAAGCAGCCGCGAGCTGCGTCCCGGGAAGAGCCGGAGCTGGCCGGCTACCTGCCCGCACGCCCGAGTTCTGCGCGGGCGAGAAAGACCGCGAAGCGGGTCCGCTCTCTGCCCGCGCGGCCGCCTCGCGCCTTTGGGTCCCGACCCGCGCACACACACGCGCGCCCTTGCACACGCGCGCGCACACACGCACACTCACACGCACCGCCTGGCGCGCAGCGACACTCCCGCGCGCGCTCACGCCCGCTCACACTCAGGCTGTAACAAAGGAAGGGGCCAGCGCTGCCTTACTTTTCTTCCGCCTCTCTTTTGCGGCCCCCTAGCCCCGGGCCGGCGGCTGGCCCACCCGCCCTCCACGCCCCCCGACGGCGGCGGGCGGCTGGCAGCCGGAGCAGCGCGGCGCAGCGGCAACTTTGCGCCCGGCGGGGCGGGAGACAAAAGCTGCGGCGCTGCCGGAGGCCGCGCGGCCAAGGTGTGCTCGCTAATTGTCAGGAAATGTGTGTGTGCGCGGCCCGAGCCCGCGGGCGGGGGAGGGGTGGCCGCGGGAGCGGGAGAGAGGACGAGGGGACCACCCCACCCCCAGCCCACGCCACTCGCCCGCGCCCGGCACCCGAACCGGGATTAGAGAATAAATTATCTGCTGTCTTCTCATTGGGCCGCGGTTGAGGACGCCGTCGGCGGCGCCGGGCTGGGAGCTCGCCCAGCTCTTTGCATTCACTGCACAGCTCCGGCTGGCCTCCCTTCGCGCGGGGGCTGAGAGCCCAGGGCTGGACTCCAGACACCAGAGGACCTCAACCGTCTGGCCACGCCACCCCTCCTCTGAACTAGCCTGACCCTCACTCCCTTCCCAATCTGGCTGGTGTCTTGGGGACAGGAGGCTGGGGGAAAAGAGGCCTCGGTATCCCTTCACACCCACTCGGAAGAAGAAAGTGCTGGGTAGTTGGGGACCAACAAATGGGTCTCACCGGTCACAACCAGAGAAGGTTTACAGGGCTTCAAGTGACCTGGGCCCTGACCTCAGGTCCCACAGGCAACAAAAAGGAAAAAAGAGGAGACAGAGATTGCTCCTATCTTCTCTCCAGACTGCTCAGCTCCAAGCTAGTCTAGCGGCACACTCCACGGGCCTGGCTTTGACCCTCAGGGGAAGAGAATTTAAGACTGCCTGCTCAAGAAACGCCCTCTAAGAGCTCCTGGCCAAGGATCCATTCATTTATTTAGGAAGCAACATCCAGGTGGCATCAAGTAGGGAGGAGTACCAAGCCACGAAGCAAGATTGAGAGGAGGCAAAGCCTAGCCTGGGAGGCGGTACTTCTCTTGTGTTCAGGCAAGCTCTAAGCCCCAAAACAGGAATGATTTGCTTTAGTCATTGACACAAAAAAAAAAAAAGAAAGAAAAAGAAAGAAAAAAAAGATTTAGCATGTCTTACGTGCCAGGCTCTGGAGTAAGCACAGTCTGGTGGCAACTAGTGTGATAAGAGCTAGTGTGTGTATGTGTGTGTCTGTGTGTGACTGTGTCTGTGCTGGTGTCCATGTGTGTCTGTCTGTCTGTGTGTGAAATGAGCCCAGAAAGGTTCTCTGAGAAAGGAGAGCTAAAAGATGAAAGACAGAATGAGGAGGGAAACAGAGAGCTCTAAGCAGAGAGATTTGTAGGTCCATGAGTTATTGGTAACTGTGCATTCAAAGGCAACCATGTACCCACCTTGTAGTCAGGGTGCACAGAGGGAGGCCCAGGGAAACCAAGAGTGGTCCTTAGAGTTACTTTTCAGGGTCTACAAACTAACACCCAGAGGTTCATTCCTGTTTTACCATCTTTCAACACAGCCCATGCCCAACTACTGTCTGCCGCAAATGAGCCGAACGGTTGCTTGCTAATCCAGATATCCTAGAGACTCACACCGATTCACCCAGTTACACTGGGCCATCACATGGGAGAAGCTACCGTCCACTGGCCTGGACCTCTTGCCCTGAGTTGGGATTGTTTGCTTGCTCAGTGCTCCTGGCTTTGTCAAGTCTGGGTTCTCACAACAATCCTGTGACTAAGTTTCTGTCCTGCAGACAAATGAGAAACTGAGTCAACAAGAGAGAATGGCCCATCTGGTACCACATGCAGATTCAGTGTCCAAGCAGAGTTTGTGGCTGCCTGCCATCTCTCTGCTAGACTTCAGTATCGCTACTGGCTGCTGTCAGTGACCCTGGTGAGGACAGGGGCTAAGCTTAGGGTCCTCTGCCTCTGCCAGAACCTTCAGCACCTGGGACAGCTCTGAACAGCCTGTTCCACCCCAACCAGAGTCTAGTCTGCCCTGAAAGAAAGGGGTAATTCAAGAATAAATTTAGGAGCAAGCTGTTGTGGACACTGGGTGGACTTTGGACTTTGGATTTACCCCTGTGACTGCACGCTCTTCACGTAGCCTTTCTGAGCCATAGTTCATTCCTTCATCAACCAACCAGTACTCACAATATGTGGGAGGTTCTCATGAATACTGAGGTTGTTACATGTATGAAGTATCTGTGAAAAAACACACAAGCTATTGACTATAAACAGTAGCTACTTCTGGGAAGGACTGGGTGGGGACAGCACCTATATTTTGTGGTTTATTATTTAGTAGTTGTAACACTATGCCTGTATTACCTGTCAAAATAAATAATGCAGCATTTTAATGAGATTGTAAAACAATATGCTGACAACACTAAAGTGAGTACTTTGTGACCTTTGTTGGACTGGGTGGGGAACAAGGTGTGCAATTGGGGAAAATCATTGTCTATTAGAAAGTGAATTCCGTCTTAGAGTTTGCTCATAATCCAAGCACAGGTGTAGATGGTGAGCCCGATCAGGTATTTTTTTAGCCTAGAATCTCTGTAGTTCAAACCCTGGGTCACAGAGGGAAATGGTATCTGCAGGGCATGCTGCTCTATTGAGAGACCCAAATCCCTCCAGAGAACAGATGAGTCCGGTTGCAACAGAGTGATGCAGTCTGGGCCACCCCCACCCCCACCCAAGTGGGTCCTGGTGTCCAGAGAGGCTGGATGGGAAGTATTCGGGTCTGGAGACTTGTGCCGTGCTTCTGAAACTCAGTGAGCCAGTTTCTTGCCTGGCTATCTGTGGCCCCGAGAAAAGCTGAGAGAACAGCGGTGCAAACCTAAGGAGGGAGGGCACCTTCTCCTGTTACCCTGCAGGTACTGAGTCCTGGTCCAGGACAGGGCAGCCATTCATCAGCCAGCACAAAGAGACACTCTCTCAGCTACACGAAGACCAGGCCAGGTCACCTCAGACACTGGGGCAGAACATCAGTGGGAACATTAGAGGCCTCTTAGAAGAAAGCTCTCTGGACTGGTGTCTAATGGTATTGGGGGAGGGGTGGATAGGAAAAGGCCATCACGGTCCAAAGGAGGAAGGCAGACATGATGGGAGAGACTAGAAAAGTAGAAATTAAAATAAGTGCAGGGGATCTGGGGAGATGGCTCAGAGGGTGAGGGCACTTGAGGGACAATCTTGAGGATCCGAGTTCAAGTTCCTAGAACCTGTGTAAAAAGCCAGATGTGGCAAGGGCCACCTATAACCCAGTACTGTGGGGGGTGGGGGTCCTCAGCACCCACGTCTCAAATAGGCAGGGAAACTGCTGCGCCAAGTTCTGGGAGGCAGAGCTAGGATGGTCCTGGGGACTTGCTGGGTAGCCTTTCGGTCTAGGCAATCACTGAGTTCAGGGAGTTTAGTGACAGATTCTGTTCCAAGAAACTAAGGTGAAGAGCTCTAGAGGGAGATGCCTACATTGGCCTCTGACCTCTGTAGGTGTACAATGGACATAAGCCGAGCTCGGGGCGCGCGCGCACGCGCGCACACACACACACACACACACACTGACAAGGATGGTGGTACAGCACCGTAATTGCAGCATTTGAGAGGTAGAAGCAGGAAGATCATGACTTTTATGCCTGGGCTATACAATGAGACTCTCTCTCTCTCTCTTTCAAAACAGAGTTTCTCTATATATCCCTGGCTGGAACTCATTCTGTAGACCAGGCTGGCCTGGAACTCACAGAGATCTCCACCTGCCTTTGCCTCCTAAGCATGCACCACCCCTGCCCAACAAGACCCCATCTTTAAAAAAATGGGGGCAGGTGTTGGAGTGTGTGTGCACACCTTTAATCCCAGCACTGACGAGGCAGAGGCAGGCAGATATTTGTGAGCTCAAGGCCAACTTAGTCTACAGAGAAAATTCCAGGTCAGGCAGGGGTACACAGTGAGATCCCCCTGTTTCAAACAACAAACCAATGAATGTCAAAGGCTTAGGCAAGGCTCCAGTGAATGAGTGAATAAACAAACAAATAAATAAAGGTGTCAGAGGCCCAGGGCTGGAATAACCATCATCCAGAATAGAGAAAACATCTTTTCCAGCAAGTTTCCAGGAAAAGGCTTGCACTGCGGGTGCATTGTTTTAATGTGGGCTTAGTCTGGTCAGCAGACAAGGAGGGACTGCAGTCTGAACACTGAGCAGGCCACTTCC